TTAATAGGAAAATATACGAAAGCGATAGGCACATTTCATTGGACACACAAAGCGGAAAGACGCGTTGTAGAATATTGTAACAACAGGCAAGTTTGAAGGAAAGAGAGGCAGAGGCAGACAGAGGGAAAATATACTGAACAAGTTAATAACATGGCTGGGAACAGCAGGAACAACAGACACCATTGCTGCAACGCAAGACAGAGGGAAGTGGAGGTCCATGATCGCCCACGCCAACCGGCAAGGCACTGGATGATGATGATTAATAGGAACAATTCTAACAACATTAAAGTTATAAATACGACAATACGTCTGATTACTCACGATACATTTGCTGGCTACCCAATCCACCTCCTTGTCCTCCCAGTTGTAGCAGGCCACGACAGACAGCCCGAAATAGTACGGGGCCAGCAGAGGGTCGTTCACGGGGGCTAGAGAGAAGGGAAACAGAAAGTCCTTTTTTAACCCTATCCGTACGTCGTGTTTTACTATCGTATCCATACGGCGTGGGGAATTCTGTGCAACCACTTAACCCTATCCGTACGTCGTGTTTTACTATCGTATCCTACCCGTACTCATACCCCTCCTACCCCTACCCCTACCCTTACTCCTCCCTTCCCTTACTCTTAACTCTCTTTTGCCCCTACCCGCTACCTCCACTTCTACCACTACCCTTACCTTTACTCTTACTGTTAACCCTATTTGACCCGTATCCCTCTTGTTACTAAGTTTTAACTTCCTTCACTGACTCATCTTTAAAGTAGTAGTTAATGACCCGACTTAGAAAACTTTATTTTTAGTTATTTTTGTTTTTTTGTTTGTTTTTTGCCATTGTATTGTGTTGTTTTTTTAAACTTGGCTGTTTCAAGGGGATACTGAAAGTAAGGGATGGTTGTGCGTATGTAAGTATCTAGCTTACCTGCCCTCTTCTTTCTCTTTGCCTGCACAGTAGGATCTGAAAATAATATCGTTTTGCTTTTTAAAGTATAGAGATACATTAGAAGGAAATAAGCAGCGGGTTTCCTTGAAGATCGGAAAATGAGGAAGAGAGTCATTTAAAAATATAATTATGGTTGAACATGTCGCCCATTTTTGTATCATTAGGATCCCGATCATTATCATAAAGGGTATAATCAAAAACATCGTCGTCTTTCTCCTCTGCCTTCTCCTCCTTGTCGTTTTCTCCCCCCCCCTCGTCTATCACAGGACACGTAACAAAAACCTCTTCCTCTTTATCCTCCTCCTTGTCATCATCATCTTTCTATCACAAGAACACAGCAAAACCATCCCCCTCGTCCTCCTTCTCCACCTCCTCCCTCTCCTCCTCCTCCTCCTCCTCCTCCTA